GGCGTCGTCGAACTCGTCCTCGTCCGGGGAGCTTGACGGGGCGTAGGAGCCATCCTCTTCGTCCTCGTCACCGTACACTTGCCCAAAGAACGTGCCATGGTACGGTGGGGGGACGTAGTTAACGCGTTGGAAGTATGCGTTCATGGCGTGCCCTTGGCGTTGAACAGCCTCGTCGAGCCGCTCAAGGTAGCCATCCATCCCGTCAACTTTGAAGTGAAGCCGGTTGAGGGAGTCGGCGATGGAGGCAAGGTTGGCCCGGGCCTGGGCTTCGACTGGGCCAGCAGCAGAACGGCGCCGTTGCATGGCAGTGGCAGGTCCGGCGTTGTCCGACCGCTTCTTGAAGGTTTGGGTGCTGATCGCCCAAATCTTCGTGGCCTTTGTGAGTGGGCCAACAGTGGTGGTCACCTTGAACCATTCAAGGATGTCCATCACCACGAAAGGGTACGGGAGGAGGTGATCGTGGTCGGTGGACGCGGCAATCGTCATGTTGATCATGACAAACTTTGCCCAATTGATTGGGGCGGAGTGCATGATCGCATGGATGAGCTTGAGATCTTCACCGGACATGATGGTGTGGCCGTGCTTCCTGGGTTTGATGATCCGGGAGACGATGTAGAGAAGAAGACGGCCTTCGGGGTTAGCGGAGTGGATGGTTGGGCGGCCCGAGGCATGGCGGATGAGCTCGGTGATCCCAAGCTCGTTGAGGATAAGGCCCTCGTTGTTGAGCACCCAGTCCTCTCCGCCATTGAGGGAGACGTCGTCGCCTTGGTAGGGGAGGCCGGCGATGCGCCCAAGCTGCTCAATTGAAAGTTCTATCGGCGTGCTCTTGACAAGAGAATAGAGCACGTCGCCCTCACGCCAGAGGTTGGAGTAGAAGACCCGAATCAGCGCCGGGTTGATCTCCTTCCGAGCCTGGGAGACGAAAGGCCAAAGGCCGGCCTGATGAAGCTGCGCGTCGAGGTCGTCGTAGCCCTGCAGCTCCGGGTAGCGCTCCAGGATGATCCGTGGAGGAGCCACAACCCGTTTAGAGAAGAAGGTGAGGAAACGGGTGAGTTCCTCCTCGGAATCAAACCAAAGGTATGACCCGTCACCATAGTAGAGGCGTTCCTCGGTGGATGTCGTAGGCGCCCGGGATTTGGCCTTGGATTTGCCGGAAGAGAGGAGAAGAGAGTAGAAATGATGAAATAAGCAAGGATGTTGAAGAGAATTGTGTTTGTGTGTGTAAAAGTGAAGAGAGGAGGTCCCAATTTATAGAGAAAGAGGTCTCCAACGTCCAGATTTTCAAAAATATGGCTGTTGGATCAATTAATGCTGGTGCCAACGGATATTTTTTTGAAAAATTTATCCAGAACAGCGATGTTCCAAAGGCTACATCGCTGTTGGGACAGCGCTGTTATGCGTCAAGTTTTAAAAACAAGTGTTAAAAGGACAGCGATGTTGGGTTCCCTACAGCGATGTTCCAAATCATTCTGGAATTGTGTAAGGGGTTGAACCCATTAGAACAGTGCTGTTGGGTTTCTCTACATCGTTGTTTTACGATAGAAAAAAAACTTTGTAAAAGTGGACATCGATGTTGAAAGTGGGACATCGCTTTTTAAAAAGTTTCTGGTTTTGGTTGAAAACAAGGTGTTTTGGGTGGACAGCGATGTTTTAGGTTGGAACAGCGATGTTCAAAAAGTTTCTGGAAAGTGAAGAGTAAGGGACTCCCTGGGACAGCGCTGTTGGCGTGTTGTACAGCGCTGTTGGCACAAACTGGTTGACGGTGTTTCTCTCAACAGCGCTGTTTGGTCTCCTGGACAGCGCTGTTTGCATGGTTCCCCCTGATTTCATGAACGGGGTACCTGCAAAAAAAAAGAGAAAAGTTCTCCGACACTCAAGTTAGTAAGCGTTTAATAAGTTTAGATGCATAACTTAGATCATCGTGGAGTCAAGGATTCCGAGTTCACTTCGAATGCGGAAGAACGACTCTTTCTCTAAAGGTTTTGTGAAAATGTCGGCTATTTGGTTGTGTGTTTCAACAAACTCAATTTCGACATCACCTTTGAGAACATGATCTCTAATGAAATGATGCCTAATGTCAATGTGTTTCGTCCTTGAGTGAAGAACGAGGTTCTTAGTCAAGCTTATGGCGCTAGTATTATCACAACGAAGAGGGACGTGATTGATACTAAGGCCATAGTCCACGAGTTGTTGCTTCATCCAAAGAATTTGAGCACAACAACTACCGGCGGCTACATATTCCGCTTCGGTTGTGGATAACGCAACACTGACTTGCTTTTTACTAAACCATGAGACTAGAGAGCTACGAAGTAGGTGGCAAGTCCCACTCGTACTTTTACGGTCTAATTTGCAACCGGCAAAGTCCGAGTCGGAATAACCAACGAGATGACAAGAAGAGCCTTTTGGATACCACAGTCCAACGTTTACCGTGCCGGCAAGATATTTCATAATCCGTTTTACCGCCGTTAAGTGTGATTCCTTCGGACATGATTGATACCTTGCGCAAAGGCAAACGCTAAACATGATGTCCGGCCTACTAGCAGTAAGATAAAGAAGGGATCCGATCATACCTCGATACTTTTTGACCTCTACTTCCTTACCTTTCTCGTCTTTGTCAAGATGATCAGACGTGCTCATCGGGGTCGCCATGGCTTTGGCGCTGTCCATTTCAAACCGTTTTAGGAGCTCCTTGCAGTATTTAGTTTGGCAAATGAACGTGCCATCTTTCATTTTCTTAACTTGGAGTCCCAAAAAAAATGAACGTGCCATCTTTCATTTAGTTTTACAAATCACAAAATATTTCTTGTGCATCAAAACAAACATTTTTTTGATGACTCCTTTTATTGTTAAAATCCCTGGTCCTTGCTCAGAACCAAAACCACCTAAGTCGGCGTTCGGCTTTCGGCGTTCGGTTTTTGGCGCCCGAACCAACTCCGTGGTTTTCAATATTTTAAACCCTGTTTTTACCTCTGAGCATTTTTAAAATGTTCCCAAATAATTATTTTATAAAAACCACTTTTGTATCTTGGTCAATCGGTCTAACACGTGAAAAACGGTCTAAACCGTACGTACGTATTATACGACCTTGGAGACTTGGTTTTTACCAAACAAGTCTTGTTTTCACTATTTAATACCATTTACAATATTTTCCAAACCTGGTTTTTACTTTTGGGAACACTTCATTTTTGGACCTCGGTTTTTCAAAACGGGTTTCAGCTGGCTAGACTTTAGCTGGCTGATAATCGATTATCACCTTAGTGACAATCGACTATCAGCCCCTGCAGCTTTGAACTTCCAATGTTCTGAAGCACGCAATAATCGATTATCAGCTTTGCAATAATCGATTGTCAGTCTTTGCAGCCAAAACCCAGAATCTTCTGAGAGGACCCATAATCGATTATCACTTGTTGACAATCGATTATCTGGGTTACCGTTGTCCTCCAACGGATAGAATTTTAAATTTTTGGACAGGGAATCTTTGGATAATCGATTATCATGCTTTGACAATCGACTATCAGCCTGTGTCCCTGAAAAATTTGTCTTCATCCTGTTGGAAATTCTAGCAACGGGTTTATCCCATTTTGGTCTATAAAATGGCACCCAAATCCTCTCATTTAACACACAATTCTTCAACATTTTCAATACTCTTTCATTGCATAAGCATTCCTATTTTTTCTTAGCTATTTGAGAGCCAATTCTTGAAGAAATTGTCGTGTTTTGAGCGTTTACTAGTTCACTCATATCTACTCTTTGTGAGAGTTTTATTCCTGAGTGTTTAAGTGTTTTCATACACTTTAAGGGAGGTTGTTCCCTTGTTGTAAACTCGAAGGAAGTTCCTTGTTCCTTCGTGAGAAGTCTTGGAGTGCGGTATCTCCGAGCAAAGGTGTTGAGGCTCGTGTGACTCGGGTTCTCAAGTTGTATCGGTTTGTTAAGCACCCTTAAGCTTAACGGAGTTAGTGTAGCTCGAGAGAGTCTCTCGGGGGGCTGGATTAGCCACACGTTGTG